TATCCTAGTGAATTTATAATTAAACGAGTAAACTAGTAGTAGCACATTCAATGTCAAAGAGAGTAAAACGTTGTTATCAGGAGAGGGAGAATGCTTAAGTGATTAGCAGCAGCGTGTTAGCCGATGGCCCCCTCCATGAGGCTACTACAGCTCAGCAGAACACCATTGCAGCTTCTGCTTTTGCAGTCATCTATTGTGGTGAAGAGAAAACTCAGCCCGGAAGGCTAAGCTCTCAATGTCCATCTACGTTCCTACCCTCACCTATGGTCACAAGCTTTGGGTAGTGACTGAAAGAACGAGATTGTGGACATAAGCGGCTGAAATTAGTTTTCTCTGCAGGGTGGGTGGACTCGTGTTAGAGATAGGGTGAGAAGCTTGTCAGAGTAGACCTACTCTGCTACTCCTCCACATTGAAAAGAGCCAGTTGAGGTGGCTTGGGCTTCTTGTTGGGATGCCTCCTGGACTCCCTTGTGAGCTTTTCCAGTCACATCCAACTAGAGGTGCTTTTATAGGCCACACCATGCCGGCGAATCAGTGTAATAGTACTGCAATGGTATGTCTGTAAACGCGCCATGCCGGCATGGCGTTGCGCGAATATTGCGGCATTCGTTCCGCCTCACCTGGTAGTAATATTGCAGCATCAGCCCCCTGCCTCTGACGGCTAAACACATGTCAGCCTCACTAATCCCTTTGGAGCGACTGTGGGAGCCAACTCTCCCCGCAAAAGAGGGTGGTCGCGTTAGTCAAGTGTACTGCGCGCCGGGTAACGGCCGGAAGGAAAGCCGGACGGACGGACGCGGATACCATGGAGCTTTTGGCCGTGCGAGCGGACGAACAGATTAGTCGCCTTTTTACGGGGACGGTGAGAGACAGCCAGCTGTTCGACAGAGTGGTGAAAACACTGGCTGAGCGGGGCGTCAAGCGGGACAAAAAGTAGGTCACATCAATGCAAAGTCCTGAAAAAGAAATTTCATCAGTCTGACGTGTCTTCCGTCTGACGCTGAATGCGTGACCCTGTACGTCACATGCGCGGGGGGGGGGGGCAGCGACTTCCCTATATCCCATCTTTGTTGGAGAGGTGCCTGATGGCAGTATATTCTAGCTTCAGCTTTGCTACTACAAATGCCAAAATCCTCCCCAGGGTGCCGCGGCAAATCCCGTTTTGAAAACGCTATGGTCCTATAAAAACAGCTTAGGAGAAGACCTAAAGGAAGACCCAGGACATGCTGGAGGGACTATGTCTCTCGGCTGGCCAGGGAACACCTTGGGATTCCCCTGGAATAGCTGGCCCAAGAGGCGGCGGAGAGGTAAGTCTGGACCTCCCTGCTTAGGTAACTGCCCCCGTGACCCAATCCTGGATAAGTGGCCGAAAATTGATGAGTGGATAACCAAATGAATCACGGACAGCTCAGCTCTGAGTACCATTGAGTACCTACATACTGCTGAGTACTAGACGTAGTACCTGGGGTTCCTGTTGTTCAGGCTCAGAGCTATTTCGTTGACGGCGTGAGGATGTGACATCACCATGTTGAAGCCATACTGAAAATGAGAAGACAGCAGCAGATGTTTCATCTCCTTTGAGTTTATAGCGATGCTCAACAGGTGTTTGTAGTATTTGTTACCTGGTAGTTCATAATGGCTCGCAGACACATGACGCAGACGTGAACATCATCTTTCTTACAAACAAGCCTTGAGTTCTTCAGAGTCCGTCGACTTGGTAGTGTGTTTGAGCGTGTGACCAAAGTTGAGCTGGAAACAAGGAGGTAAAAGAAACCATTTCTCTGAACAATTTACTTGCCTCGATGTGTCATGCATCACTTATTGTACCTGATGGAGTGCCGTGCTGAGCGTGAAGCAGATGAGGATGGGGATGGGAGGCTACAGTCACCATGGAGATCCTCTATAGAGCGACTCCAGGGAGAATCGATAGATGCCACTTCACTGCTGGTGTCTGACTGCTCACCATCAAACCTGCAAACCACATTCTACTTCTGACTGATTGAACAGTTTGCACCTGAGTACTTTTGATGAGAAACCATATGTCACCATGAAAACTAACAAAAGCAGCATCGATGTAACTCACGTGACTGCATACTGAGCAAAGGACAAGTAGTCGACCAGCACATCCAAACCTCGATTCTCCTCATTTAGAAACTCTCTCACCCACCTAAAGAGAAATGGAGATGGACCAATTAGAACGGCGTGTGGGAGAGATTTGGTTTTGGTCAGAACGAGTCGGAATAACAAATACCCAATGTGGTTTGTTCGAAGAGAAATCTCAAGTTCTCTGAGTGTTTGAGTTGACTCCTGAACTCTTCGTCTGAACTTCTGCAGATGGACAGAACAAGGTCAGAGACATTCAGCCCGGACATTAATGGACACTCAAGGAAAAAAAAACTACAACCTCTTCCATCTTTCTTTTAAAATGTTGTTTGACAAAGTTAAGCTATTTTGTAGCAAAGAAAAACAACAAATTCTTGTTCTTGTAGTTTTAGAAAATCTCTCACCTTGCGCGTTACAGCTGGATCAAGAAAGCCTCTCAGTTTTTGGATATAGGTGTGTGGAGGGTTCTTCACCTGAAATCTCTCCTACAAGAACACCAGGACATGGTGTGATAGGATGTAGGCAGATTTAAGCACCTCCCAACACAAGCATGAGTTTCACTTTCATCCAGCTAATATAGAATTTATATTTCTAATATAAGGGAAAGTTATCTTGTGTTCTAGGCTCCTAAGCTGTTTAAAACCATAAGGTACACGTGGTTAAACAAAGGTGTCCAGATACACACTATAATCAGTGGGCACCATGGAAGTGCAATCATCTGCACTTATTGAGGTAGTTTGTCTTTTGAATCTAACAAACAGCAACAGATGTGAAACCTGCGACTTAAGTGAAACAAACAGACGTTGAGCTTAGTTAAGTGTTTAGTGTATGCATTGATTTAAATAACAATAATAATACATTTTCTTTAAAATGACTTTCAGGGAAGTCAAGGTCACTGTACAAGAATGATAAAAGTCAAGCTAAAAGTTAAAAGCAGCACAAATCACTCATAGTAACCCTAGGAAAACAAAACAAAAATAAGATAACATACATAATTCTGTTGAATTATCTCTGATTTATTGTGTTGAATTATATCTGTCTAACCCTAACCCTAACCCCACCCCAACTAACAGACACAAGAACAGCTTCTTTCCCTCTGCCATTACTCTCCTGAATCTGTAGATTATCTTTACCATTCCTTTATTATACTTTTTTATATTTATAAAGTGTGCTTATGGATATGAATGTGTAGGTATATATATGTATATACAGTATATATATATATATATATATATATATATATATATATATATATGTATATATATATATACATAATATATATATTGATGTATACATACATATATATATATATATATGTATATGTATATATACATACATATGTATATACATATAAACATATATATATGTACATATATATATATATATATATATTATATGTATGCATATTTACATATACATATATATATATATATGTACATACATATATAATATATATGTACACACACACACACACACACACACACACACACACATATATATATATATGTACATACATATATAATATATATGTACATATATATATATATGTACATATATATATATATATATGTACATATATATATATATGTACATATATATATATATATATGTACATATATATATATATATATATATATATATATATATATATATACATATATATATATGTACATATATATATATATGTACATATATATATATATATATATATATATATATATATATATATATACATATATATATATGTACATATATATATATATGTACATATATATACATATATATATATATATATACATATATATACATATATATATATATATATATATACATATATATATATATATATGTATATGTCTGAATGTGTTTATAGTATGTGTGTATTTATTTATTTTTTCTATTTTTTACTTAAATTTTTTATTTTTACCTTATTTTTTATGGTAATTCAAGGTTTGTGCTTTTTTGTTGATGAGAGGAAAGCATTCTCATTTATTGTTGTATGTTGTATGTTTTAGAGAGCTAACATCTACTGAAGCTAAATTCCTTGTAAATGTAATTTTACTTGGCCAATTAATCTGAAATCTGAATCTGAAATCTAAACAAGATGCAATCCGGAAAAGGTGAGTTTTTATCTTAGATTTGAAGGTGGTAAGGGAGTCAGCAATCCGGATGACATGTGGCAGGGAATTCCAGAGCCGGGGAGCACAGCTACTGAAGGAGCCGAGGCCCATGGAGGTGAGACGGATGAAACAGTAAGGTGGATGGAAGATGATGATCTTCGGGAGCAGACTGGAGAACATTTTTGAGTGAGATCAGATAGATGTGGGGGACAAAGATTGTGAACTGCTTTGAAATTGAAAAGTAGGAATTTGAACTTGGTTTGTTGTTTAGCTGGGAGCCAATGGAGTGGCTGAAGGAGTGGACTGATGTGGTGAAATAGGGAAGTGCAGGTGATGACTCGTGCGGCAGAGTTCTGGACTAACTGGAGCTTGTGGAGGGTTTTTGAGGTAGACCAACCAGAAATGAGTTACAGTAATCGATTTGGAATGTGACTAAACTGGGGATGAGAATAGAAGTTGAATAGGGAGTGAGAGAGGGGTGAAGGCCATTAATATTACGAAAGTGGAGGTAAGCTTATCGGGTCTCGTTACTGATCTGAGAAGAATGACGCCCAAGCTCTTAACCTGATGGGAAGGATAGGTAGTAGAGGGATCGTTACTAAGAGAAAAACTGTCGGCTTTGGATAAGGTAGCATTTGTACCATGATAGATGTTTTAGTTCTTTTCTTACACAGTTTAGTAAAAATGATTTGTTTACATTACACATTTCAGCTAGTAAATGTTCTAGCCATCCTCAGAGATTGCTGGTAATGGTGGCGCCACTTCCTTTTATCCGCGGGCAGCAGAGGGCGGTGTCGCACTCTACTGCCCGCGTCCTCCTTGCTAATGACACGGTACCATGCATGGTCCAATGTGTATGTTCATCGTCTGTTCATGGTCCTGTGTCCACGTCTCCTTATCTCTATTGCTTCTTTTATCAATCTTTTATATTTTTGTTGTTCTGTGTTTATGATCTGTGTACTGTCCCAGTCCATTATGTGGTTTTCCTTTGTGCAGTGGTCTGTTACAGCTGATTTCTTTATTGAGGAGACATACTGTATATGAAATACCATTCAAACTCTGCAGTAAAACATACATAGAAGAAACCGGAAGCCAACTCAACACGAACAATAGAACATCAAAGGGAGTGCGAGAGGGAAAACAAGAAACAGAAAGTACAATAAAGACATCAGCTGTAGCAGACCACTGCACAAGGGAAAACCACATAATGGACTGGGATGGTCCGCAGATTAAAGGAAGTGATGCCACCATTACCGGCGACCTCTGAGAATGGCTAGAGCTACTAGCTGAAACATGTAAGGTAAACAAATCATTTTTACTAAACTGTGTAAGAAAAGAACTAAAAAACAGATTATGGACAAAAACACAGTTTGAACGCAACAAACAGGGATTTTGCACAAACAAGTATGATTTCTGTTTTATCACTGTGAAGTTTGAGGAGGTTAGTGGAGAACCATGGTTTAATTTCAGTTAAACAGGAGGAGAGGGAGGGAGTTGTGATTTAGGTTTGGAAGACAAATAGAGCTGGGTGTCATGTGCAAAGCAATAAAGCTGAATGTTTAATTTCTGAAAAATATGACCTAGTGGTAGAAGGTAAATAATGAAGAGGAGGGGACCAGGGCAGAGCCCTGGAGCACACCTCTAGTAACTGGGGACAGGTTGGATCTAAAGGATTTGAGTTGCATGAACTGAAAGCGGCCAGAGAGATGAGAGTGAAACCAGTTGAGTATGTTATGAGAAATGCCAATAGATGAGCGTATGTCTAGAAGAGTAGAATGAGAGATTGTGTCAAAGGCTGAACTCAGATCAAGGATGCATCAAGGAGCTAGCCCTGTTTAGCTGAAGTAATGGTGAGCAGGTACACCCGCCCAACGCAGAGGAAAATGACACACCACCTCAGACACAGACTATGACTGCATGGTGGCGCAGTCATTAGCCCTGTTGCCTTGCGGCAAGAAGGTTGCAGGTTCGAAAGTCAGCTGCGGTCTTTTTGTGTGGAGTTGCATGTTCTCCCCAGGCATGCGTGGGTTTCCTTTGTGTACTTTTCCACTATTGAACTTCTTTTGACTGAAAGAGTTTTAATTAATGCAAGGTTGAACAGATTTTTGTCATTGAAACTGAGAACACTAGTGCCAACAACAGAATGGTAAAGAAACACTTTGTGTTTCAATTGTTTTGTTTGATTTATTGTTATTTTTTATTTTATATAAAGTTCTAGCCAGCATTTTCAAATTTTCCTTGTCTGAGTCTAAATCGCTTTCCCCCTCCTGTGTAGTCCATTCTATCTGATCTTAATTTTTATTTTTTTTAGCTCTTTCTTTCAAGTTTTAACAAATAAAATTGAAGACTGACACTAAAAGTAACTCTGAGTGTTGTAGGTGTTGCATCAGGTCACATGACCAGAAGCAGAAAATCCGTGTGTTAGGAGATCGTTTTGGGCCGCTGCTGTAAAAAAATGAGGCATGAACCGGAAATGCTTCTGCCGATCACAATTTGACAACGGATTATGAAGGAACGGATAATGCTCGAAGTCTGCGGATTGTTCCTGATGTAAGAGGTGAGTCTCCTCTTTGTTTTGGTAGTTTTGGTGTTGACTCATCCTAGTGCGCAACGTTCTGTGACTCTTAAAAAACACCAAAAACATTGAAAAACGCTGGCAGCGAAGGGCTTTTCTGATCAGGAAACAGCTGGCAGTGAATGAGTTAAATGTTTGGTCCATAATTTAGACGCTGTTCTATGAGATATGAAGACATGTAGATCTCATGTCACCTACCTGATCACAGATCAGCTCCCATTTCTTCTCATTGTCATAGGAGCGCAGCAGACGTACCTTGTCAGGAGGCAGATTCATTGAATTCTGAAAGAAAGAAATATTTTAGACAAACTTTATTCTTGAAGCATGATAACAATGTTTAAACGAGGACCTAACATGGATTTCTGACTTATTTTTGCATCTTTTTGGGTTACCATATTGGTCTCCACTGCCTCCGAAAACACTTTAAACGTAAAAACATAATCAGTCAATTTGTTTTTGGTCAGTATTTGTTTTAGAACTTATTCAACTAGGTTGAGAGACTGGGTAGGCCTATCAGGGTCTGCTCTGGAGTGGTTCTCCTCCTATCTGTCTGAAGGTTCCATCTCTGCTGGTTCCCAAAGTCAGAGACTCCCTTGGTCAGCTTGCTTCTCACACCAAACCCTCTGTCAGGAATCGGTGTGACCTTTGACCCAGCTCTCACCCTGGATTCTCATGTCAGTTCTCTTGTTTGCTCTTCCTTCTTCCATCTCAGGAACATTGCTAAGCTGAGTCCCATTCTGTCTCACGCTGAACTTGAGACAGTTATGTAAGTAGTTAGTGAGTACATTTTATTTACATAGCAATTATCACAGACAGAATCACAAAGTGCTTCACATAGATCAAAACAAAATAAAACATAAAGTAATAAAATCATGATGATGTAGTGCATGTAAACAAAAAGATTGTTTAAATTTGCAACAAAATAAGTGCAGCACATATTTGTGTATGTCTGCATGTTTATAGTTAATAAAACCTGATGAGGAATATTTGAATATTTTTTTTTCTGTTTTACCCCGGAGGCATCCACCATGTTGTGGTCTGGGGGTTTATGTGCTTCCACGAGTCTAAGAGATGCACCAGCAGAAGCTCTGTCTCCAGTTGGGACACCACAGTAGGATAGGTCTTAGGGTCAGGAAAGAATAAAATTGCATTTTATTCATAAAGTGTTTTCATAAACACTCAACACGCTGTAAAAAAGTCTAGATAAAACAGGCTGATAACAAAATAAAAAGATATATTTTAAAACAGTTTTGAAATTAGTCTTGAGAAGAGTTTTTAAGTTTGGAGAGGGCAGAGCAGTACTGAAGGGGTTGCCAGAGATGGTTCCAGAGGGTGAGGGCAGCAATGGCGAAAGCTGTGTCTCCCCAAATTCAGACTTTGGTCCTGTGGGGGAGGGAGAGAAGGGAGTGGGTTGTGGCACGGTGGTGGAGCAGGTCACAGATGTAGGAGGGGGCCAGGTTCTGGAAGACTGAATGTGACGCACTGAGTGAGAGGAAGCCAATGGAAGTCTTGAAGGGACAAGAGTAGCAGCAGAGTTCTTGATACCATGAAGTTTGTTGAGAGTTTTGGATGGAATACCATATAATATGCTACTGTAGTAGTTGTTTTGTGATGAATAATGAATAATGGTATCATGGACAGAGAAAGGAAAGGACAAATTCTCATTTTAATCCAATCACATGACAAAAACAGTAATCCAGAGCATCTGCCTCCAACACCAATACAAGCTTTTCCCTCCTTCGTTGCCAAAGTATGGCTCTTTCACAATTCTGTCTGTCCCCCCATATATACCTGTCTAGAACCGGCCCTGCCCAGCAGTGTCCTGAGGTCCAGCGACCAAAGCTTACTGGCTGTGTCAACCATTCTTTCTGTTATGGTCGTTTAAATAAGTTATTTTGAAACACACTCTCAGTATAACACACTGTCACAGTTTAACATTGAATCTTTTTAACAGCCACATCTTTTACTGAATTTGTGAAGCATGTAATTCATCCTAACCCTCTCCTGATATTTTAAGTAAAACAATTTCCTGAAAAAAATACCTAGTTTTAATAAAATGAAATGACATCTGCTGCGACTCCAACTGTTTCTTCAAATCTCATGTAATGACTTTGAAGCTAGACAACAGTATGTCACGACCACAGTTAAAAATCAACAATAATATTGTCGTCTTTAGTCGACAAACTCACATAGTGACTTCATCTCCAGCTAGAAAAGGCCTCTCTCTCTCCTCTCTCTGTTGGTGTTTACATTTGTGTTTCTGGCTGCTTGCTAAAAGACATAGCATGAGTTATCTCACCTTCTTCTCCATCAAATTTTACCTTCAGTGATCTTTACTGCAAATCATTTTTCTCCCTTTAAACTCTATTTCTTGTTACACCTAAAATATATTACAGTGTACCATTGATACATACATAGTAGCTTATCATCAGCAGCAGTGTGTGAATGTGAGAGTGCATGAATAATGGAAAGTGCTTTGGGTGATGAGAAAAGTGCCATATAAATCCAATCCATTATTATTAGTAGTATTATTAATATTATTATAATTAATGTTAAATATAGGAATTACAAATATAATCAAGATAAAATAATAATGTAAAGTGGCAATAATTGGAGAAACAGCTACTACAGTATATACAAGACAGTGTAGGTACTAATCAGAGCGGATCAGTTCTGGAACAGACACAAACACAAGGTCATGTGACTGAATCCAAGCAACTGGAACGGTCATCCCTAGGTTTGTCATTCATTAGTCCAACAGCAGAGGGGAAGAATCTGTTCTTGGTGAGAGTTGTGGTCCGAATGGATCTGAGCCTTCTGCCAATGGAAGTGAGTCAAAAAGACTGTGTCTTTTATCTGTCAGTTGTCAATAAAGAGTTAAATATTGGCAAAATAAAATCTCTCAGCATGGTTAACACATGCAGTGCTGTAGGCTTCATAAGTAGAGGAAAGAGTAACAGTAACTTCAAATTTTAACTGATAAAATTCACCAAAAGCAATGGTTAATTTTCATGAAAATTGTTTATAGGAGCCAGTCTCATGAAAGTATCTTCCCCACATGTCCAGTACAAACAAGTTATAGCAATCTAATGACTTGTACGCTTTGTAACTTTATATAGTTACTATAGATCTTGAGGATTTGTGCTACACACCATTAGCTTTGAGATGCATTTTTGTTGAGCATCTGCACAGAAGTGTGTTAGATGATCTAAAATAGTAATATCTACCTTTCTGGGTTTTATTTTGTTAGCTTAAATCTCAGAATTGCATGTCTGGATAGTGGCTGTAGAGTATATCATGTCAGATTCTACCGATCTGTTCTGTGGAGTACCCCAAGACTCTGTTTTGGATCCACTTTTGTTTCTACTGTACATACACCCTCTTGGCCAGATTATTGACTATCTTCATAATGTCTCTCATCACCTCTATGCAGATGACATTCAGCTGTACTACTCCTTTAAGGATTCTGAGTTCTATAAACTGTCTGAATTGCTAGAGTGTCTATCAGCTATCACCAGATGGCTAGAAGATAACTTCCTTCAGTTAAATGCTGAAAAGACTACATGTCTGATCATTGCCCCTGAGAGCAAGGTTCCTCTGACTAGTCAACAACTTAGTCATTCAAATTCTGCTGTCAAGTCAAACTTGAGGAATTTGGGTGCTGTTTTTGACCAATCAATGTCTCAACAACATTGGTCCGAAACGTTTTTTTTCCCACTTAAGTAATATCTCCAAACTGCGAAGGCTGGTGTCAAAACATGAACTTGAAATGGTTATCAATGCCTTTTTCTCCTCTTGCCTAGATCACTGTAACACACTTTTCGCAGAGTTTAACAAAAAGTCCTTGCATGTCCTCAGTTGGTCTAGAACTCTGCAGCGAGGCTCCTAACTGGCGCAAACAAGAGCACACGTTACTCCTATTCTAATGTCTCTGCACTGGTTACCCCATTATCTTTGGAATCCTGACAATAACTTTCAGGGCTCTACATGGTCAAGCTCCTTCCTATATAACTGAAATGTTAAAACCTTATGCTCCAACCTGAGCCCTCAGGTCCACCCACCAGAACCTTCTAGGAGTTCCAAAGACCAGGCAAAGTGATCTCTCCTCCAGACTGTCGCACCCCTACTTTGGAATGATCTTCCTTTATCCTTACGTAGCATTGATAGTCTGGAAACCTTGAAAAAGCAGCTGAAGGCCCTTTTATTTAAAGCTGTTTTTGTTTTTAACCTAAATCTTCTGTTTTATTTTTTTAACAAAAATTTGTAATCATCTTTCATTTGCTTTATATTTTATAATTTACGAGTTTGTTTTTCTGATTTTAATTTATTTCTGTTTTAAGATCCCTATGATTTTATGAGTATTGTTTTGTTTTGTTTTGTTTTTGATATATGTGAAACACTTTGTGTTACTCTGTGATGAGTGCTATATAAATAAAATTTACGCACTTATATTTTTGCCCCCAAGTGTTGTGCACATGTGCACTATTACCTGGATGAAAACAATAACATTTAAGGAGGCTATATAACTGTGGACAAGGTACCAAATAAACCAAGGTATTAATTGTTTAGAGATTAGGAAAGACAGATTCATCAAATAAAAGTTGTCATTAAAAATGTGACCGAAACATCTCTGGGATGTTTAATGAACGGTTTGAAGGGGTACAAGGTCACCATTCAGTTTATCAACTAAACGGAGATAATCTGAAAAGCATTGGTCTGGGAACTAATAAAACCAAGATCTAGAAAGAAGTTAGCCATTTAACAGTGGCTCAAGGATTTTACAAAACCAGGGTTTCTTAGAAGCTGTAAGAAACAGTACTGAGAATAAGATTCATATAGGTTCTTGTAGTCACACCACAGGGACAAATACAAGGTGAGACAAAATCAGCCATACTCTCTGAAACATCAGTGTTGATGCTGAAAATACTGTTGTGTCCTTGGGCAAGACATTACACCCTCCTTCTCTGCCTGTGGTGGTTAGAGGGACCGGTGGTGCCCATGCACTATCAGTGTGTCCCAGGGCAGCTGTGGCTACATTGTAGCATTATAATGTTAAGTGCTTTGTTCTGCAATGGTGATGTTTTATTTCTGCAAATAACACAAGCCTGAAGGAGTTCTGCTGCGTCGTGGAGTTGCTAATGCTAACCGTTAGTTTCTACTAGCTGAGGCATTCTCTGCTGGATGATAAACAAACAGCCTTCCCCGTTGTGAGTCAAGATGGGTGAGTCCATGAATGTTAAGTGACAGTGTGACGTTGATCTCAGGCTTTTCACGTCCTAGAGCTTTACTATCTATCAGCTGCTAATGCAAGAGATAGGTGTAGGAGACTATTTTCATGTTCAGCCTGCATGAAACACTAACAGTGGCCGATTACAATCAGAAATAATCAACCACACCTTCAAAGCATATCATTGTATTTTTGTTGGTTTACTGTGAAACTGCTGTGCATTTCGGTGTTGCTGTTTGTTGTTCATGCATCATGTTGTGTTAACTTACCAGTGCTATGGAGAACCTCTCCTCGAGCTCAGCTGGATCAGGCATCGGAAGCCGAACTGGGGCTGCTCTGGAACGGATCACAGCCAGCTGGCTTTCCATACTCTCTGCGTTCCCCATCCCACACACCCACACACACCCTCACAGTGATCCGCAAACACAACAGACACAGTGAACACACCCACCGTAACCTGACAACACACACTCAGACACACAGCAGTATGAACATGTGGTCGGCCATGTCTGAAGGAGGATGCAGTGAGGCTGCTGAAGGCCGGTGTCTGATCTGTTCAGGGTTGGTTCCTGGTCTACTTTCTGAGGTCCTGTCTGACTCCTCAGACGATGATGGTCTCGTCCTTCTTTGATCTGTCAACCTCTTTGTCTGTCGACGATGATGAAGATGCTGATGCCAGATAAAGCCCCGTTCTGCAACTGTTTCTGTTATTATTAAATATCCTCGTTCTAATAGCGCGTGTCACAAATCAGCCGGTTAATCCTCCCCATCACCTCCCCCACATAAAGAAAGAAAGAGAGTCGCTCTCCCCCTTTGTCTCTCTCTCCCTCACAGCTGTAGTCCTTTTGGAGCTGACTCAACCCTCCCTGTGTAGACAATGAACCTTCTGCCGCCACAGGCTCCTCCCCTAAAACGCTGTCACACATACGCACGCACGCACGCACTCACGCACTCACGCACTCACACACACACACACACACACACACACACACACACACACACACACACACACACACAGTTAATCTGATTCAGAATCAGCTGTAGCAGTTTTCATTCATTTCAGATCAATCAAACAAAACGGGTGTGTGATACTACACACCCCATACACACACAAACACACACAAACAGTAATAGAGTGTGTGTCATTTCTGTGTTTGAGCAGATTGGCTGTAAACATATGAGGAAAATTAACAAGTGGTCAACTTGAATATCAGTTTTATGCCGCTGCTTCTTCTTTTATCACCGAAACAGGAAGTTAGCCTTCATTTGCAGAAATTATTAAAATATTTTAATTAGCATTAGTTCTGTTTTATACATTTTTGATACCCAATCAGGTTGCACCAGAGCTGGATTAAATGGACTACACTAGGCAGGCTGTATTTTATGCCCCCCCCCCCCCCCCCCCCCCGTCCATCGATGTTATTTAATGAATTGAAATCTGAAACTTACCAAAGTTACTTATAAAAGTACATTCACATTTTACGTAGCCTAGTCTTTGGTTACAAATTGGTTGTTTGTATGTAAAAAATTCTATCAGACAATTTTTTGATATTAATTATACGTCATTACACAGCTGTATTAAATGCTAATACATTATCCTCATCTTATCCATTGGGAGTGTCAATGTCAAGGCGGTACCAGTAAATAACCACTAGGTGTCATTAAACTATGGAAACAGAGCAAATATATTCATCTTATTTGCTCTGTTTATATTTAATCACTACATTTAATTAAAAAGATTTTCTGCTAAATACAATAGCTTACAACATTTATAAATGTTGACAAATTAATCACATGATGGTGGAAAGACATTCAAGAAGAAATAGATTAATTTGAATTGACTGAAGCATGTTTTAAAGGTGCAAAAACAAACTATAAACACGCAGCTTAAATTATTACAGTATAAATTTTATACAATCTATAATCTTAAAAGAAAGTATTTTAATAAAATGAAAACGTTATCTTAAGTTTTGATCTTGCTTTATGCTCATTCAGGCTGTTATTGCCTCTGCTGAATCAGAAATTGTGTCAATTTTCTGTGTGAACTTATTGTTAGTTTTGTTATTTAAACATTAATAAAAATATTTTAAAATAAAAATTAATAAAACCAGCAACACTTACCAAGGAAACCATTTAGCACGCTCCACTCCAGGATAATCTTCAGCCTTCCAGCATCACAGGGCCTCAGTCACAGCAGAAACACGTCTAAAGAAATGTTCCTTGGTTAAGCTTCGGTTTATGTCTCCAGATTTCCTCTGTGATGCAGAGAAATATGCAATATTTTGAGAGGGATAGTTTAGTGCAAAGTACTCACGCATCCTGTCATCAGTTTGGTTATGTACCACTTTGCAGGATCAGATGTAGCTTGTTAACATCCTTTCTGGGTCTAGAGGCTGTAGGGCTCACTTCTGGCTGGCTGCTGTTCTTCCAGTTCATCCTTCTGTGACGGCGTTGGTGCTACCGCGTCTTCCGCCGCATTTCCCGCCGCATCTTCCACCGCATCTTCGGGCTGTGTCTGCTCTGGGTCTGGCCTCTGGCTCTGCTGACTCGAGCAGGTTCACAGCTGTTGGACGGCTGCCCGAGCAGCCCGACAGAAACTTCTGTAAAGCCCCCGCCGTCTCTTCTTTTGTTCCTCTTCATTTTTTTTTTCTTTTTACATTTTGCCGCACCTGAAAGCATCGTGAAAGTTAGCCTACTCAAAAACACCTGCTAGCTTTGTTGTGTCCCGGCCCGCTCTGACTGACCGCTTCTCTGACGTCCTTAATTGGGTGGCGCCCAAGTTGTAGAATACAGTCATGGGCTGGCGTTAATGTGACGGTCTATGGTTAAGATAAACATTATCACTATTTTTAGTTAATTAATAAATATTGACATAAACTGTAGATAGGAGTCCTATCCACAAATTATATCATAGGAGATTTGTACATTTAATTTTAAATTAATTAATTTTTTATTTTGTCCCTATGTCTGGGCCCCATCCAGCCAATCAGGCCCTAGGCACGTGCCTACTTTGCCTTTGCGTTAACCCGGCTCTGGAACCATCCAGGCTTTCATCAGGAACACATTTAAATTCAATCATTCCATTCCATTACCTCTAGCCTGTTGGTTCTAATCCAAGTAAAAAAAAATCATCCCTATAATCAGAACTTGATCATACAACACTTCTACTTTTAGTACAACTTTAGGGCAGCAGTAGCTCAGGAGGATGAGCAGATTGTTCAGTAATTGGAAGGTCGTAGGTTTGATCTTTGCTCCCAGGGCAAGACACATATGACACTTACACACTAGCATTGGCCGTACTCCACCTGGACCAGGCTGGTAGTGTTTTCATTTAGGTAGCCTTGGATTTTCCTGCATGCAACCGGACATCTTTTCAGCCCTTTTCCCAAGGTGGTCTGCCTCTAGCCTAACTGATCAAACACACCCAATGCTGACTGATTGGCTGGATCAAAATCACACCTACTATTAGCAGGAGCCTCAAATTGGTAGATAGAATCAGCCTGTGGGGGCTTCCTGCATGCACAATTCATTATCAGAGTGGAGGCCAGGTTTAGGTTTAGAATAAAAAGTTTAAACCTTGAATGCACATGCAGTCCTGGCGTTTAGTCCACCAAAACATGCTCGGGCTATCCCCACACGAGCGCACACAGCTCCCCAAATAACTGAAATCAGTTTTGAATTATGAATTATGATTTTTATTAATCCTTCTTTCATTCCCTTACCTTTGTCGTGGTCTGCGTCTTCCCTCATGTGTCTCCTGATGTTTCTCCATCCCTCTCTAGATTCCCCTTTTGTGTCTCATAGCGCCCTCATGTGTCCTTTGTCTGCGTCTCACTTATGTGTCTTCTGTTTGTAGCCATTCATTCATCCCCAGCCCTCCAGGTGTGGCTCCAGCCGCTTTGTCCCCAGCTCGGTGTTTGTGTGTGTGTGTGTGTGTGCGCGCGCGTGCGTGCGTGTGTGCGCGTGCGTGTGTGTCCATTCCCCAGTTCAGTGTATGTGTGTGTCAGTGTGTGTCAGTGTGTGTGTGTGTGTGAGTCCTTCCCTCAGTCTTTAGGTTTGGTTTTGTGTTTTATAGTTTTAGGGTTATCTGCCCTCCTCTGGTTCTGTTTCCCCATTTAGATAATTGTTGTCACCTGCCTTCCCTCCAGCCCTCACTCCACACACCTGCTTCCTGTTTCCCTAATTGTTCCTCCCAGTGTATTGTGGTAATTCTGTCAGTCTTAGCGTTCCTCCTCTCTAGTATTACTTGTGCTTCTCGTGTCTCAGTTTGATTTCCAGTTTTTGGGGTTTTGGACATTTTTGGACTTTTGGCTCCCTGCCTTGGATTTATTCTTTTGGTTCATCCTTCACAAGGTTGTTAAGACAAGAGCAGAGTGTGGAGCAGAGTGACTCGGTGGCTTCATTCACTTCATAAGCAGAGAATGTGCTGGGAGATGGAAGAGTGGAGGCAACTAGAGAGGAGAAGTGGTTGGGTGCTAGATAGCGGTAGCCTAGTGAACTAGACCAAATTCTTGCTTTGCAAAGTTTGGTCTAGGCATGCTCCACTGGAACCTCAGCAGCTCCTACCAGGACTCTGGCTAGCCAATCACAGCTCTCTAGAGGGGTTTCAAACACATAAAGAGCTGTGATTGGTCCATAATGGTGGGCCAGTCATAGTGCTCTATCTGCTTAGTGAACAAATCACAGAGCTTTATCCGCTTTGTGGGCCAATCAGGGCCCTCTATATGCCTGGTGGGTGGGATGATGCAACAGAGTGAAACAAGAGTATGTCACATTCATTGTCCAGTGGAATGCGGAGATCATTTGAAAGACAACGGTAGAACCCGCCCCACAACCGAGAGCCGTCAATGGAGCGTGGCCAGACTAAATAATACATTTATTTAGTCTGGCTTGCCAGGCTAAGATTGCGGAGGTTGCAGCAGAATGAGACCATTGGGGTGTCATGGTCCGTGGTGAGCTGTCAGCCTGTAACCAGGTTTTCTCCTGAGTATTGTTTTCACAGGTGGGCGTGTCTGAGAGCTCCCAGCTGCAGCTGATCTCACCATCAAGGTCCAGGGGATTTAAGGAGCAGTGTGACACTTCACCACGCCGGATGATTACTCTTTGGGTAGCTCTAGCCTCCGACCCGACCTTGACTTTGTATTTTGCTCTGATTAACCTGACGTCTGAAAACCCCCCTGATGCCCTTTCCTGCTCTCCTCCAGGTTCCTCACAATCTCTCACCAGCTCCAGAACAAGACCCGGATCTCAGCCTGCCTGACACACTGCTTCATCCCCTGGCCGCCCGCTCTCAGCCGCTCACCTTCCAACATCCATTCCTGTTCCTGCACCTCTGGACAAAACAATATCCTTCCCTGTGGCTCTCCTCAGCTCACCCGGACCTAGCAACCTTCCTGTACAAATACCACTACCCAGAAACAGTAAGACCAGTCTTTCCGACAACGTTTCCATTTGTTTTCGCCTCATATTCACTCGTTCTCTCTCCTTAGAATCTCCCCCCTGGATTCCTGCTGCCAGTCCTGCGTCTCGTCTGCTCCCGTCTCTCACATCGCTCTTTATGTAGTAATAAAAACCTTTTTTACTTACTTTCTTGTTCTCCGTATGGTGATTCTGCATGTCGTGGGTCAAGAAACTTCCTCCTGCCATGACAGAATCATCCGGCCATAATATTGACTCCATTGCAGAATCCGATCCGTCCGTTAACTCTCCGTCCGCCGTTTCTGAAACACTCTCCCGTCACGAACACGCCATTCATAGCTTGCTAGAACAATCCTCTGACTCCCACCAACGGTTACTCCTTATGGACAACATGTTACGCACCCTCACTGCCAAGCTAACTTCCCCGGAACCTTCCGCCCAGCCGCCTCCTGTTTCTCCTCCGTCCGCACATCCGGTTTCGGCTCCTGCCATAAACTTCCGGATACCCGACTCACTCCCTTCTGACACATATTCCGGTGAGTTCGGCAAATGCCGTGGTTTTTTATTTAACTGTCAGTTGACTTTTGAGAGATCCCCCGAAGCTTTTGTTGTAGATTCTGTAAAGATCTCATACATAATCGGATTACTCCGAGGCAAGGCGTTAGACTGGGCCGAAGCAAGGAGCCACGACGCCAGTTTCCTGCGCGGTTCCCTCTCACAGTTTCTGACCGAATTCAAGCAGACATTTGATCATTCTGAGTCTCCCGCTAAAATAGCTAAACAGCTGTGGAACCTCCGTCAAGGAAAACAGACTGTTGCTGACTTCGCTATAGAGTTTCGCACACTGGCTGCAGTTTCCTCTCTAGATCAAGGTTCACTCCTTGGAGCATTCACTCAGGCATTAAACCATCGCCTCCAGGATCAGTTGGCGTTATGCCATGAACCCCCCGATCTAGAATCTCTCATATCCTTAGCACTAAAAATAGAGAAACGTCTCAAGGTACATTCTACGAGTTCTCCAGTGTCCCATCCGCCGTTAACCCAGATTAAACATTTCCAGCCACAAGTTACAACACCATCTGGTGACAAGCCCATGCATATAGGCAGAACTAATTTAACCCCAGGAGAAAGGCAACGTCGTTTCACTTCTAACCTCTGTCTCTACTGCGGTCAACCTGGTCACCGACTTTCGAGCTGCGCCCTACGTTTAAAAAGGGCAAGCCCACCAGTAGTTCCGGGAATACTGGTGGGTGGCAATGGTGTTTCAGAATCCCGCTGTACTCTACCATGTACCATCACGTTTAATCAAGAGAGTTGTTTGTTGAAGGCCCTGCTTGATTCAGGCTGTGAACGTAACATGCTGGACCAAACAGTCGTTCAAAAGCTGGATATCCCCACTATTCCTCTTCCGACTCCTTTGAGAGCATCGTCCCTGGATGGTAACACACTCACTGCCATTACCCACCAGACTGTGCCAGTAAACTTACAAGTATCAGGTAACCACCAGGAGAGTATTTCGTTTTTTGTGTTTCCATCTCCGCACTCTCCTGTTGTTCTAGGACATGACTGGCTTATCACCCATAATCCCCAGATAAATTGGAAAACGTCCCAAGTTACCGTTTGGAGTTCTCATTGTTTGACAAATTGCCTTCGTTCTGCTTCACCTTCCAGTTCTGCATCTAACCCCGATCCACCGGTTCCCCCTGACCTGTCAGGAGTACCAGAAGAGTACCACGACCTCTCGCTCGTCTTCAGTAAAGACCGTGCCTCCTCTCTGCCCCCTCACCGACCCTATGATTGCGCCATCGACCTCCTGCCTGGTGCCACGCTACCATCCAGCAGGTTGTATAATCTGTCCAAACCAGAACAAATCAGTATGTCCAACTACATAAAGGAATCACTAGCTTCCGGTTTAATCAGACCATCCACCTCGCCCCTGGGCGCTGGGTTTTTCTTTGTTTCCAAAAAAGATGGTTCCCTGAGACCCTGTATTGATTACAGAGGTCTCAACCAGATCACAGTTAAAAACAAATATCCACTCCCATTACTTTCCTCTACCTTCGAACCCGTACAAGATGCAACTATCTTTACAAAACTAGATCTGCGCAACGCCTACCATCTCGTTCGCATTAGAGAAGGTGACGAATGGAAAACTGCATTCAAAACTCCCTTAGGTCACTTCGAGTATCTTGTCATGCCATTCGGTCTCACTAATGCCCCTGCCGTATTCCAGTCCCTGGTCAACTCGGTCCTCGGGGATTACCTCAACCAATTCGTTACTGTATACCTGGATGACATTCTAATCTTTTCCAAATCCCCGGCAGAACACCGTCATCACGTCAGAGCCATACTTCAACGCCTCCTGGAGAACCGTCTGTATGTTAAAGCAGAGAAATGTGAGTTCCACGTTCCATCTGTCAAGTTCCTTGGATTCATCCTCGAGAGCGGGCGGTTGAAGACTGATCCGGACAAGATTCAATCAGTTCTCTCCTGGCCTACTCCCACCACACGTAAGCAACTTCAGCGTTTCCTGGGTTTTGCAAATTTTTACCGCCGATTCATTAAGGATTACAGTCAGACTGCCGCCCCACTCACTCAACTCACTTCCATAAACAAACCCTTTCTCTGGTCTCCCGCTGCTGAGAAAGCCTTTCAAGACTTAAAGAACAAGTTCACCCAAGCACCTATTCTTACCCGTCCCGACACCTCCGCCCAGTTTACCCTGGAGGTTGACGCCTCAGACTCTGGTGTTGGTGCTGTCCTCTCACAGATCTCTCCCTCAGATCACCGTCTCCATCCATGTGCATTTTTTTCTCGACGCCTCTCACCAGCGGAGCAGAATTATGACGTTGGAGATCGGGAACTTCTGGCTATTAAATTGGCTCTGGAGGAGTGGCGGCATTGGCTGGAGGGTGCAGAACACCCCATCATCATCTGGACAGATCATAAGAACCTAGCATACTTAAAGGAAGCAAAAAGATTAAACCCTCGACAGTCCCGCTGGTCCCTATTCTTTTCCCGTTTCCGTTTCCTTATCTCTTACAGACCCGGTTCCAAGAACACCAAGCCGGATGCCCTATCCCGTTTGTACTCTCCCGACAAAGACCCTGAACTCACACCAATCCTGCCGCCATCCTGCATCGTGGGCGCTGTAGCCTGGGACATCACCAGAAAGGTTCAGGAGGCCCAACAAACCGATCCAGACCCAGGTACCGGTCCACCTCAAAAACTTTATGTTCCCACCAGGGTTCGGGGAGACCTGATTCATTGGGCCCACACGGCAAAATTTTCCATCCACCCGGGGGTCGGTCGCACTCTAGCTCTTATCCGCAGGACCTTCTGGTGGCCATCCATGTACAAAGACGTCCGTGAATACATCAATGCCTGTTCCATCTGTGCCCGTAACAAATCCAGTAACCAACCTCCAGCCGGACTTCTTAACCCACTCCCCGTACCCACTCGCCCTTGGTCTCACATTGCTTTAGATTTCGTCACTGGTTTGCCTCCCTCTAACGGTTTTTCTGTCATCCTCACCATTGTTGATCGTTTTTCTAAATCCTGTCACCTGGTTCCCCTCAAAGCACTCCCATCCTCTGCCGAAACAGCCCAACTGCTTATCAAACATGTTTTCCGTCTCCATGGCATCCCCTCTGAAATATTATCCGACCGTGGCCCCCAGTTCCTGTCCCGGGTATGGAAGGAATTCGCTGATCACCTGGGGGCTCGTGTCGCCTTGAGCTCTGGATTCCACCCTCAGACGAACGGACAATGTGAAAGAATGAACCAGGAGCTCGAGGCCATGCTACGGTGCGTCTGTTCATCCAACCCCTCTGGTTGGAGTTCCCAACTTCCCTGGGTGGAGTATGCCCATAATGCTCACACCTCCACATCTACTGGTCTGTCTCCGTTTGAAACTGTACTCGGCTACCAGCCCCCTCTGTTTCCATCGAATCCAGATCCTCCTGCTACTGCACCCCAGTTCATTCGCCGTGCCAGAAGCACCTGGGCTCAGACCACGGCGGCTCTCCAGAGGACTGCTGACCGCAACCGCCGCCTGGCCGATCGACACAGGCGACCCGCCCCTGTGTATGCTCCTGGGCAGAAGGTCTGGCTCTCCACCAAGGATATCCGCCTGAAAGACACTAGCAAGAAACTGGCTCCTCGGTTCATCGGTCCTTATTCCATCGTTGATGTCATCAGTCCGTCCACTGTCCGTCTGGCTCTCCCCTCATCCATGAGGGTCCACCCAGTGTTCCACGTCTCCCTGATTAAGCCTGTCCTCTCTAGTCCCCTGTGTCCTGCTCCTGCTCCTCCTCCGCCTGCCCGGCTCGTTGGTGGTGGTCTGGTTTACCCTGTCCGTCGCCTCCTCGATGTCCGCCCCCGGGGTCGGGGCTTCCAGTACCTGGTGGACTGGGAGGGCTACGGTCCCGAGGATCGCTCCTGGGTTCCCCGCTCCTTCATCACCGACCCGGGTCTCATCAGGGACTTCGAGGCCTATCGGGCTTCCTCCTCCTCCGCCTCCTCCTCCTCCTCTGCTCGGCCGCCGGGTGGCGTCCGTTGAGGGGGGGGTACTGTCATGGTCCGTGGTGAGCTGTCAGCCTGTAACCAGGTTTTCTCCTGAGTATTGTTTTCACAGGTGGGCGTGTCTGAGAGCTCCCAGCTGCAGCTGATCTCACCATCAAGGTCCAGGGGATTTAAGGAGCAGTGTGACACTTCACCACGCCGGATGATTACTCTTTGGGTAGCTCTAGCCTCCGACCCGACCTTGACTTTGTATTTTGCTCTGATTAACCTGACGTCTGAAAACCCCCCTGATGCCCTTTCCTGCTCTCCTCCAGGTTCCTCACAATCTCTCACCAGCTCCAGAACAAGACCCGGATCTCAGCCTGCCTGACACACTGCTTCATCCCCTGGCCGCCCGCTCTCAGCCGCTCACCTTCCAACATCCATTCCTGTTCCTGCACCTCTGGACAAAACAATATCCTTCCCTGTGGCTCTCCTCAGCTCACCCGGACCTAGCAACCTTCCTGTACAAATACCACTACCCAGAAACAGTAAGACCAGTCTTTCCGACAATGTTTCCATTTGTTTTCGCCTCATATTCACTCGTTCTCTCTCCTTAGAATCTCCCCCCTGGATTCCTGCTGCCAGTCCTGCGTCTCGTCTGCTCCCGTCTCTCACATCGCTCTTTATGTAGTAATAAAAACCTTTTTTACTTACTTTCTTGTTCTCCGTATGGTGATTCTGCATGTCGTGGGTCAAGAAACTTCCTCCTGCCATGACATGGGGAGGAAGCAGTGGACCTCCCTTGTAGAGTCGTGCTGAAATGGAGGAAGTAATGATCCGAAAGATGCAGCGGTGTGACAGAGAGTGTGTCTATGGCACAGTTTCTGGTGAAAATGAGGTCAAGTGCTTTTCCAGCTTTGTGAGTTGGAGGACTTTGTACTAGTTTTAAATCAAATGATGACATTAGTGACAGGAAGCCTGATGAGCTGGGATTGTCCAGGTGAACATTCATGTCTCCAAGGACCATTGTGGGACAGTCGTGCTCAGGAATGGAGGAGAGCAGGGTGTCAAGTTCATCAAAAAAGTCTCCGAGTTGACCTGGTTGGCGATATATATCCATTTATTGGAAATTAACATGCCCGTTCCACCACCTTGGCCAGATGCACGTGAAGTGTGGGAGAAAGTGTGGTTAACTGAGAGAGCAGATGGGGTAGCATTGTCACATGGTTTGATCCAGGTCTCAGTGACAGCCAGTGCATCAAGTGACAGGTGGTTTGCATATGCAGTAATGAAGTCTGCTTTGTTTACAGCTGATTGGCAGTTCCACAGTCCCATAGACAATTGGGTGTCTTCGGGGGGAGTTGGTTTTAGCGAGCGGAGGTTTTGAAGGTTGCGAAAACGGTTTGCTGTGTGTGACCTTCCTCTGAAGTCGGTGATGACAGGTATAGGATAATGGCACATTTTGCAAGGTGTCGATGGAGCAGCGTCTGGGTCGAGTTTGTTTGCTCTGTGGACACGCGCAGGTAGACACGTAAATCTTTACCCCGGAGGGACTGAGACACAAGGGCTGACGCTTCGCTGATGCTTCAGTTATGCCACCAAACATATGCTGTGCTACTAGTTGGAAACAGGTGTTCATCTAGCAGCTGATTGCAGTGATTGAGACCTAGATCACCTGATGAGTGTTTTCAGGGAGGGGAGAAACAGCTTGTTTACAACCCCTGTAAACGAGCCATTGTGCTCCAGTTGAAAAGATCTCAGATGATCCACATACCAGGCAGCAAGTAACTTTACAATGAAATAAACACAATCGTCCAAAACAACTATCTGTATAATCTCAGCAACGTCCGGTAATCCACATGTTGAATATAAGACAAGATCATCCAGTGGTGTATCTTGTTCCTCTGTAGGTGACGGTGCTGGCAAGAAGAAAGATGTGACCTGGCTCTCAATTCTTCCTGTATGTCTGGATGCAGCATATCAACAGGCATTCTGTATGTTTTTGTAATGTGCAGAGCAGGTTTCACCTCTGTTGATTGCATGTGATATGCCATCATCATTTGATGTCTTGTAGAAAGGGTCAGCAACACATTTTTGAAATTATTGGTGTGTCTCACAACTTGCTTAAAAAAATGATGTTTCGCCCCAAAGCGCATTGTCCATACACCAACTAAAGGCCCATATTTTTCTATTAATGCAGGGTAGTAATCCAAAAAATGATGTTTTGGTGTCAGTCTTTCATCAGGAATATCTTGCACGATGTTCAGATATTTTAAATTCAAGGTAGCCTATACTTTCTGCTGTGTGACCAGGGGCAACCACTAGTTCAACAATGTCCTTCAAAGTCAAAACAAGGTCCCAAATTGGATCCCCTTCAGGTACATGTGAACCAACAATGAGAGGCAACAAATGTATTAGGGCCCAATTTTCATGTGCATTTCCACCTATTGATTTGCGACCAGCAAAATTAGATGGGATTCCTTGTGGACTGTTAACTTTGTCCGAGCCCTTACATGGAAAACATTTGATTATATCATTCAGTACAGTCAAAGTGAAATAGTTCTTTTTCAAAAAAAACTTGAAAACACAATGCCAACTCTCTTGGCACAATCCCCTCAAAAAGGTCATGAAGGATATCAGGTGGGTATCCAGAGACAAAATGAAAATGATTAAGGTGATCAGTTAATGGACATGAATGCTTTATGCCAAAGTAAGGTGCTAGATTAGGATTTTCTCTGACAGTTTCTACATGTAAATCATGGTCATCCTTTTTCCAAAGTGGGAACACACCAGACCGTACTTCACGTCTGGTACTCTGAAGAATGTCCCAAGCAAAATCTGCAAATGTATGGCCCATTAAAACTTTCAACTAGTCCACTAATTGAATGAGCACCAAGATTATCTGGGGAGCAGTAGCAGGGGTTGTATGAACTAGTCGACTTCACTATAGTGACTTTTTATGCCTGTCGTCGACTAGTCGCTGTCACGTGATAATGACCGGCAAGATGCAGCCCTCGGAAAAGACAGCAGCCTGCTGTCAGCAGGTGACAAGCTCCTGCGCGTCGGAGGGGCAACGCGCTGTGCCAGAGCGTCGGTACTGACACACGATCGTTCATGTCAGCTCATTTCCTTTAATGTTTTCTGTCTTTTATTTGCGCCTGATGCGTTTCGCTGCTGCGGAGCGGGGCGCATCACCTTGTCCTCCGACGCACCGGCCACTGATGCGGCCACCAAGCAGGGAGCACTCCGCTGTTTTTGTGGTCGGTAGATCTGCGTCCTGAGCACGGCCACAGTAACATTATCAAATTAGGTGTCGCCACCTCAAAAACTAATTTAACACGCGATCGTTCATGTCGGCTCATTTCCTTTAATGTTTTCTGTCTTTTATTTGCGCCTGATGCGTTTCGCTGCTGTGGAGCGAGGCGCATCACCTTGTCCTCCGATGCACCGATCACTGATGTGGCCCCCAAGCAGCTCGCACTCCGCTGTTTTTGCGGTCGGTAGATCTTTTAGAACTGCAGTTCAAAGGTAACTCATAAAGTGAATATATATGAACCCAGGTAGCAGTTTCTCTTTAGGATTGAGAGGAGATGCAGGAAGATAATAAACAGGCAGAACAGAAAAATAGTCAAATAAAAACAAGTTAGTTTTTGTACCTGGTGGTTGCAACAAACAGACACCATTGAAGGTAATCAGAAGTGAGGAACAGAAAATGAAATAATTATTTTAATGTTTAGAGCAGCAGGTACTCTGAGAGGCTGCAGGCGCATCAGTGAGTTTGCGGCCGCTGCGCAGGGGGAGGGGGTGGAGGGCTGAAGCAGAAACTACCGTTGTTAAAAGAAATGTGTTTAACTTTGAAAATATGAGCGCAATTTTAATTGTCAAAAACTCCAGCGAACCATTAGTTCATTTTGCTCAAATAGAAATAGAGGCCTGCCTCTAATTCTGGTCCTCCTTCCAATAAAGGCCTGGAGCTTGATGAGCTTGAGTCAAATACAGGCCCGGGCCTGTATTAGAGGATTTACGGTATTTCATATTTCTGCAAAATAGCAGCTTTAACATGATCATAGTCCACTGATGCATCCACATCCATATGTTCATAGGCACTTCTGGCTTTACCCGTCAATAGTGGAATCAATTGGAATGCCCAGTCAGATCTCGGCCATCTACATGCACATGCTATTCTTTCAAAAGTTATAAGAAAATGCTCAATGTCATCCTTTTCCCTTAGCTTTTGCAATTTTGGTTCTTTATAGGAAGGATGAACAGAAACTGAGTCACCTGATTTTGAACAGCGTGGTGCAGGCTCTGGTTCCACCTCATCCGAATCAGCATCATCATGAGGCCTCTCATGGTCTGCAGGCCCAAATCTGCAGAGAAGCGGGCGTGGTCTTGCTCTACAGGTAGCAAGCCAGCAGAGGTCTGGGCCTGAAACTCTTGCTGAAACAGACTGAACTGGTGTTGAAGATCTTTAAATCTTTGATCCTGGTGTGTAATCTCCTTCTCCCACTGTACCTCACGGGCTTCCTAACGTCCAATGTGAGCTTGAAGGATGCCAGCCAGGTCTGATATTGTTGGCTCTCTGCCATGATCCTCCTCTTCAGCAGCAGCTCCACTGCCCCCTCTCCCATCCTCTGTCTGTGCTTCTCTATCTGAAGGGGCTGGCTTGATTTTACCAGATTTGGTTCCTTTCATTTTAGATTTGTCAGGATAAAAAGAAAAAAATAATAAATTGGGAGAATCTATTTACCAATGTCCTTTAACTGGAACATCCCACCTCTGCCACCAACTGTCAGGGACCGAGCAGTAAAACTCCAGGACAATGGTATAAAAAGAATAGATTCTCAATTTATTTCCATAAATAATTAACAAAAATCAAGACAAAACAGGCCCAAAGGAAAAAATGGCCACGAAAATAACCTTAACTAAAAGTAACAAACAAGAATGGTCCCAAAGCTGCTTCTTCTTCTTCTTCTTCTTCTTCTTCTTCTTCTTCTTCTTCTTCTTCTTCTTCTTCTTCTTCTTCTTCTTCTTCTTCTTCTTCTTCTTCTTCTTCTTCTTCTTGTTTAATGGCGGGTGGCAACCAACTTTCAGGTACATTTCCGCCACCTACTGAATGGGAGTGTGAGTCGAAGTGGGGAGCATCCTACTTAAAAAAAAACTAAATCCTATCAAGCAATCCACTGTCCCTCAAAAAGTCTATGACTAACCTATACACCACTATTCCCCCATTTAACAGAATACCCAACTCAAATTCCCTATATCCCTTAACTTTTAATTTGTTAACCAACAATTTCCTATTCCCCACATATTTCCTACAAGTACATAATACATGTTCTACCGTTTCCCTATCAAGTCCACATTCACACATACGGGTATGCCGTCCAAGAATAAAAAGCGTACTGTTCAAAGCTGTAAGTCCCAGTCTCATCCTTGTTATCACTGCCTGATTTCTGTTACTCATGTGTATGATTTCCATTCTTCCAAGCTTTCCCTTTAATTTGTATAAATGTCTTCCTTTCATGTCCCTTATCCACTGTTCTTGCCATTCATCCAGAATCTGCTGTCTAATAACTGATTTCACCTCCATCATAGTATCCAGTTTCGTTGACTGCTTTGCATAATAATCAGCTATTTCATTACCCTCTACTCCACTGTGAGCTGGAACCCACATAAATCTAACCTCTGAATTAGTCTTCATCAACCTAAACAAGCACTCAAATATTTCATACAAAATATCTGACCTCTTATCAGCTGACATTTCTTTAATTGACATCAATACAAACATGGAGTCTGAGCAAATAATACTTTTCCTAACACCGTTTTGTTCGATCCCCTGTAAACTAAATGAAATGGCTAACATTTCCACTGTATAAACTGACAGATTATTAGATGTTCGACTTTTATGATATTTACTAAATTTCGGAATCCAGAAAGAAAGTCCTGTTAAATTTCCTGGCTTTCTCGACCCGTCAGTATATACAGGGATGAATGATTGATGAGCGTCATTTAATCTTTCTTCCACAACATTAGCCCAGTTTCCCACACCTTTCCGTATTTTAATTACATTTTGAATAAGAAATTCTATCACCACTTTTGGAAATAACCAAAACGGAGTAGGCGAATATAAAAATTTCTTAAGAACAACGATATCATTTAATTTAAAGGCTTCCGCCAATCTACACGATTTCCAGACCATGCTCTCATACTGTCCATTGAAACATTGCCCACCCACTGTCATCTCTCCCCTAACCATATGCACATCCTCTGTACTACCTTGTACACTAGTCCAATAATTTAATTTCAGCAACTTGAATCTAAGAGTCAATGGCATCTCTCCCATTTCCACTTGTGAGGACACTATCGGTGTGGTTTTCATTGCTCCACAACAAATTCTCAAAGCCTGACTTTGAATAACTTCAATCTTCTTCAATAATGTTTTACTTGTGGAACTATATACAATACTACCATAATCAATAACCGATCTGACCATTGCTATATATACCTGTTTTAAAGCCTTGGTACTAGCCCCCCAATCATTACCCCTTAAACACCTCATAATATTTATCACATTTTTACATCTTTCAACTAAGTTACTAATATTCTCCTTCCAAATCAACCTTTCATCAAATATAACACCCAAATCCATGCTTTCGTTCTTTTTTAAACACAGAAACAGTTTTGTTTACCTGTTTGTAGCTACAGTTTCGCCGACAGCTGCCGGCTTCTTCAGGCTGACGCTGATGGTGGCGCGTCACTTCCTTCTCCGTTTATCTGCGGGCAGTAGAGGACGTTGTCGCCCTCTACTGCCCGCTCTCCCCTCTCCGACGATGCAGTCCCATGCGTGGTCCAGCGTGTAAACTCCGTCGTCCCTGTTCATGGTCCCACATCCACGTCTCCTTATCTCGATTGCTTCCTTGATCCATCTTTTGTATTTTTGTTGTTCGGTGGTTATGATCCGTGTGTTGTCCCAGTCCATTATATGGTTTTCTCTTAAGCAATGATCTGTTACGGCGGACTTTTTTATTGTACTTTCTGCTTCTTCTTTTGCTGCTCTTGTGTGTTTACGATTTGCCTCTTTCTCGCACTCCTTTCTGTGTTCTATTGTCCGTGTATTGAGTTGGCGTCAACGTCATAACCAAACAGAGGCGTGTGGAGGACGAACTGGAAAGAGGACACCTGGACTTAAAAAGGAATTACAAACTTGATAAACAAATGGAGGAACTAATTAAAGGACACATGATGGAAAAACAGGAAAAAGAGTTCATAAAAGTAAAAGAAAGACACATAAAGAAGTTAAACAGACTCATAAACAAGAAAAAGAGGGGAGAAATACAAGGCAACTCCACACCAAACTCATGGGTATGTAACATTTCACAATACAAACTAACAGAAGCAGAAGAGAGCATATTAAAGAAAGGTTTAAACTTTGCAGTCACACCAAAAGAAATACCATATGATGAATTTATTGTAGCAACAGAACTAGCATGTCAACAGATCACAGATGAGGGAAAGAAAGCAGAACTCAGAAATAACATAGTTGGGATATTAAAAAACAGCCAAATTCAACACAGCAATATTACAAAAGCAGAACAATCAGCCATGGCAGCTTTATCCAAAAATGAACAGATAATTATTCTACCGGCAGATAAAGGAAGAACCACAGTAGTTATGGACAGAGAAAAATATAAACAACAGATGAAACAGATGCTAGAGGACAAAAATACATATGAAATACTTAAAAAAGATCCAACAGAAAACATTAAGAAAAACATGAAAAAATTACTGAAGCCACTGCACGAAAAAGGCAAAATAACAGAAAAAATGTACAAACACTGGATTCCTACAGCAAACATAACACCAAGAATATATGGAACGCCAAAAATACATAAACAAAACACCCCACTTAGACCAATAGTTGACAGCATAGGTACACCAACATACAACATGGCAAAAGATATCAACAGAATAATCAGCCCGTTATTAGGAAATACAGACCAACACTGCAAAAATAGTATAGAATTGGCAAAAGAACTAAAGGAAATTACAATAGAAGACAACGACATACTCATCTCACATGACGTCACATCTCTGTTCAAAAAAACACCAACCCAAAAAACCGTAGACATAGTAGTTAACAGAATCAGACAAGACAAAACTTTACACAAAAGGACAAACCTCACAGCAGATGACATAGCACAACTGATAGGACTGGTAGCTAACTCCACTTACTTCACATACGACAACACAATATACAAACAACTGGAAGGCTTCGCCATGGGTAACCCGTTATCAGCCACCCTGTGCGAATTTTTCATGGAAAACCTAGAGCAAAAAGCCATAGCCACCGCCCCCCCAAACTGCAAAATAAAACTATGGAAACGCTACGTAGACGACATACTGGAAATCATACCAAAAGGTCAAACAGAAACACTAACACAACACTTAAACAATATTGACGACACGGGCAACATAAAATTCACTTATGAGTTAGAAACAGAAGGCAGCATAGCATTTATGGACATGAAAATCACCAGGCAGACCGACGGGACCCTAAACATAAACACATACAGGAAACCAACACACACATACAGGAAACCAACACACACAGACCAATATCTATTATGGACATCAGAACACCCCACCATACACAAAATGTCAGTAATCAGAACATTATATCACCGAGCAAACATAATAACAGAAGAGAGAGACCGTAAACAAGAGGACAAACACATACAACACGCTTTAAAGACCTGCAGATACCCGACATGGGCAATAAACAAAGGAAAACAACAAACAAAAACAGAAAGCAAAGAACAACCCAAAAAAAGAACCAGAAACCCAGAAAGACAAGAACCAAAACCAGTGATAACCCTACCATACATCAGAGGCATAACGGAAAAAATAAGAGCAACAATGAAAAAACACAACATAAACACACCAACAAAACCATACACAACAGTTAGAAACAGACTAGTACACCCAAAAGACAAAATATCAGCTGGACAAAAATGTGGAGTCATCTACGAAATCCCATGCAAAATATGCAATAAAACATACATAGGAGAAACCGGACGCCAACTCAATACACGGACAATAGAACACAGAAAGGAGTGCGAGAAAGAGGCAAATCGTAAACACACAAGAGCAGCAAAAGAAGAAGCAGAAAGTACAATAAAAAAGTCAGCCGTAACAGATCATTGCTTAAGAGAAAACCATATAATGGACTGGGACAACACACGGATCATAACCACCGAACAACAAAAACACAAAAGATGGATCAAGGAAGCAATCGAGATAAGGAGACGTGGATGTGGGACCATGAACAGGGACGACGGAGTTTACACGCTGGACCACGCATGGGACTGCATCGTCGGAGAGGGGAGAGCGGGCAGTAGAGGGCGACAACGTCCTCTGCTGCCCGCAGATAAACGGAGAATATTTAATGATCAAATAAACTATGTATAAGATAAATAACTAAATGTGTGCACCCATTAGTAAACATCTTAAAATATTGCAACAAAATGAAATAATAAACCAGCGTGTGGAAAAAATATTTAAATAATACTAACACTGAGAAATGGCTGGAGGAACCTCCACAAGAAGACAGAGCAGACACACCCACACACATCCACACACAAAACATATATACCAAGTAATGTGTCTATAGTTACATGGTGATTTCTTAGTAAATATTCTATTTGGTGAGAGATAAACTTTATTGTATTTATCCCAGTGAATCTATAATTAAACAGGTAAACTAGTAGTAGCACATTCAATGTCAAAGAGAGTAAAAAGTTATTATCAGGAGAGGAAGAATACTTAAGTGGTTAGCAGCAGTGTGCTAGCCGATGGCCCCCTCCATGAGGCCACCACAGCTCAGCAGAACATCACTGTAGCTTCTTCTGGGGAGAAAAACACTTAGAGAAAAAATAAAGTTAACAGCTAAAATAGTAGGAAATAATACAGTTCTGAGCAGATTTTAGAAGAAAGTAGTCTAGCGTGGAAAGTGGTCAGTGTATCCTCCAGCAGTCTAAGCCTATAGCAGCATAACTACAGAGATAACTCTGGATAACCTAGCCTTTTAGATGGAGGCTTGTTGGAGGCAGGGCAAGGGAGAGCCGTCTTTATCGACTGTACACTCCACCTTCCTCTACTCCCCCGCTTGTCCAGATCTAGGCTAACATCAGATTTTAACCAAAGGCCATATCAAATACAAATGTTTTAAGCCTAGCCTTAAAAGTAGACAAGGTGTATGCCTCACGGACTAAAGCTGGGAGCTGGTTCCACAAGAGAGGAGCCTGATAACCAAAAGATCTGCCTCCTGTCCTATTTTTTAGATATTCTGGGAACCACCAGTAAACCTGCAGTCTGAGAGCGAAGTGCTCGGTTAGGAACGTATGGAACAATCAGATCACTGATGTATGATGGAGCTTGATTATTAAGAGCTTTACATGTGAGAAGGAGGGTCTTAAAATCTATTCTGAATTTAACAGGTAGCCAATGTAGGGAAGCCAAGACAGGAGAGATATGATCTCTCTTTGTAATTCTCATCAGAACTCTAGCTGCAGCATTTTGGACAAGCAGATTCTTCCCCTCCGCAGTTGGACTGATGAATGACAAACGTAGACCCGTCTGCACCTGAAGTGACCCGCTCTAACCAGAACCTACACTACACTGTCTTGTATATAGTAGCTGCTTCTCTAATTATTGCCTCCCTATATTATTATTATTTCATGATGTTTATTTCTTAATTCTAATTTTGCTTATCATTTTTTTTTCTTGCACCAAGTCCAAGTACCGTAGCAGTTTCCTAATGTTGGGATTCTCACACATATGGATATAAACCCTACTGGTTCTGGTTCTGACCAGCAGGGGGCTCCGCAGAGCGCAGATTGAAAGGCAACAGAGTCTCTTTGTTCATGCTCGTGTGTGTGTGAGAGAGAGAGAGAGGGAGTGCGCGCGCGCGCGCCTCAGGCTGCATAAAGACAAGCTAGTCAGAGTCAGAGCTAAAAAAAAAAAACTTGCAATTCCTTGCATGGAGTCCGGACAGCTGCGGGTTCGGTGAATGAGCTACTGATCTCTCTCTCTCTCTCTCTCTTGGACGCTGGGCTCAAGCTAACAGGCCGGTGTGGATCGCAGGAGGGCACGCAGCGTCTCTCATGTCTCCAGCTGTGAGACACAGGGACAACTTCTAGAATTCATTTCCTTTAAACGAGGGATACTTCCGAATCATCATGGCAGCGACTTTGTCAGCGGAGGAGGAACAGGTAGGCCCGCGCGCGGAGGCTCCTGCTCTCTATTTCCGTTTCTTTTACCACCCTGCGTGCGTGCGCCACAGCAGTGCGCTTTTGTGGCATTGTTGCCAAATGTTCCGGAGCGCAAAGCGGAAACATCGCATCGATTTCAGGAACGTTATTGGCCTGGTCGTTGCACCACAGTCGGCTTCTGTGTTGAAACACACCGCTGATGCTAATGCAGGGTCACTATGGGCCTGGTTCTGGTTCTGATGCTGGTTCTGGGCCTGTTTCTGATGCTGGTCCTGGTTCTGGTCAACCCACAGAAGTTCTTGTTCTGTCAGAAAAGAACACATGAATCCCATTTGACCCGTTTTAACCAGACAAAACAAACTTAATTTCATCAGTATAATCGGTGTTGGACTAACTTAATATATGTCATACATATTACTGATTATAGTATAACAATGTAATATGTTTGTAATAAATACTACCGTCTCATTAATCTAGCTGAGTTACACCACTTTCAGTTACTTTCTGCAAAATTATTTAAGTATGTAACAGAATCCAGAAATACTATAGCTGATCATTTTACATTTTATACAAGGATGAAATACATGATTTTTCTCACAGTTTTATTCAAGTCAGCAGAAAATGTTTAACAACAGAACACAGGCACAACAAGTGCCTTACATACATTTGAATAACCAAGTTAAAGGTATAACCTCAAGTAAAGGTATAAATGTCCTGAGAGTGGTCACACTCAGTAGAAAACAACTAAATAATCAAGCATTCAAGACAAATGAATAAATCGGAATGCCACAAATGTTTACCAGAAATTGTCACTTTGTGGGTGTGGATGTTGGCGGACCGTGTGTAGAGGAACTGACCTGGAGGCAAAAATGCAGGTTCGGATAAAGTAAAAATGGTTTTAATAACAGAGCGGGAACGACAGGACAAAAACAACGCTGACAACAAACACAATGATCTGACAAAGACTGATACTAGGAGGGAGATATAAATACACAGGGCAAATGAGGAACACATGGGCAGGTAAACAAGGGGCAGATGAAAACAATAAGGACTAATCAAGGGCAGGAGAGAGACACAGTCAGGGAGGCAGGGGCAGACGTGAAAGAAATGTTTTCACACTTTAGCAGCTATTTGGTGTGGTACAGAGTAGTACATCTCACTGAAGTATTTATTAAATCACATTAAAAGAAGGTGCTGAAAGCGCTCATCACCAAGACGATTGTGTTTGGGTGTCAGAGCGGGACTTCCACTGGCGCACTAGTTGGTGTTGGAGCTTTGTATCACTCATCAACTTCATTTAATACCTGTTCAAGACTTTTTAAGACCTTCAAAAACAAAGTAAGACTTTAGTGCAATGCAACTGGAACTAATAAACTTTATTTTGTGATTCCAATAGAAAGAAAAACATTTTACAAATAAAACTTTACTCAAAATAAAGTTTCATAAAATAGGCTTAGGGTTAGTTTGCTAAAATAAATGATGAAAAAACTGCAGATTTCACAGCTAAACTCAACTAACTTATCCAGCTGGCTGTCTAGTATGAATGCACGTCCCCCTCACTTTCCACGCATTATAATTAAGGAACTCAGTGGGTTAGCCTGGTGTTCTCCAATGTGTGAACCAACCTAGAGCTGCCACAACCGGCTATTTTAGTAGTCGACTAATCGTGTCATTAATAAAGGTTTAGCTTGTTGATGCTCTAATATACCATCATTAGCTTCTAGTCTGAAGTGTGATCCATCTACTAATAAAGACAAGATGATAGCTTACCAACAACTTTAATAACTTTGTAACCAGTTAATACAAATGCTACAGTCAGGTGGAAGTAGGCACCTAAAACCAAACTGATGTGTGTTCACCAGAGTCTTGGTGTCAAGGTTGAAGCGCTTCATCTTCCAATCTTAACTCAAGAGATAGCAGGACCAAGGTACGCCTCTGTAGCACGGCTGGTCCAGACGTCAGCAGTCAGGGACCATCGACAGCTCTGAGGGTCTACTTTACCGTAAACATAAAAGATATTAAAGTTAGTTTATTTACCAGATTAATAATTCTGTTATATCACATAATGTAGGTTAAGATCTGATGGCTGCATGGTGGCGCAGTGGTTAGCACTGTTGCCTCAGACAGATCCTGAGACGCTCCTGCCTGACATTTTTATTTTATTCACGGAAAAAAATCAAACTAGTGATTTCTCTTGGCGTTCAGTTTATACATTCAAACAGCACAGCACTCTATTTAAACTACTTACATGTAAATCTGTTATTTATCCATCCATCCATCCATTTTCATCCGCTTATCCAGAGTCGGGTTACGAGGGCAGTAGCATCGAGAGGCCCAGACTTCCCTCTCCCCAGTCACTTGGGCCAGCTCCTCCGGGGGAATCCCAAGGGGTTCCCCGGCCAGGTCCCGTAAGAAGTCCGCTCCGACAGCTTCTGGCGTTTTTAAAAAGTATCCCAGGGTCGCGGTAAGGGTCGGAGATGTTTAGTTTATTTAATTTCTGACTATATAAAACGATTTCTTCGGTTTTAAAGTGTGAAGTAAACTCAGACGAAGTAAAATCCAAGCCGATCCCGTTCATGTTCATGTTTACGATCCGTGTTTGTTTACCTTTTTTTCCTGCCAATATGGCGTCTACTGACGCGGTCACGTGGGGTCCGGAGCTCTATATGGATGTTATTTTAACTGCAGTTGCAGCGTTGCGCCACTATTGGGGCGCTGTATCAGCAGCGGTGCAGCGAAAAGTGCTAAAACCGCTGCAGAAAAAGATGATCAAAAATTGCTTTTCTTTCTAGTTGGTACATATCTATGGTTGGTGCTATTGTAGGGTGGCCATACGGGGCGTCGGGGGGGGGGGGGGGGGGGGTGTCCTACATTGATCAAAATGTCCGGTTTTTCATCCAGGAGCAGGGATCGAGTTATGGGTGCTAGACATCTTTCGGGGAAAAATCCAGTTTCTGTCTATATTACAATATTTATGGACTCAGCGTAGCGGGATTCTGTTGAGTGGAGAGGACACAGAGCGCTGATCATTGGTGCGCCCGCTTCGTCCAGCGCACGGTACATTCTCATGGTGGCGCAACAAAACATTATTATTAACACATGATCATTCATATCTGTTCATATCCTCTGGTACTCTGTGTTTTAATCGTTCCTGACGCGTGCCGCTATTCGTTTGCTGCGGTGATTTCACCTCACTGACGCAGCATCGAAACGCTCACTCCACTTTGTGGTCAGGAGATCCCTTTGATCTGTTCAAAAGTAACTGATGAGGTGAAAATGTAAGAATCCAGGCAGCAGTTTTTCTGGAGAGTTTAGAGGAGATGCAGGAAGATGAGAGACAGACAGGACAGGAAAATAGTTAAATAAAAGTAAGAAAACAAAACTTGAAAGTCAAATGTAGGTAGATTTATCTCCACTACACGTTTTTACCTGTAGAAAACAATAAGTTATATACATGTCATATTTATACATCTGATACAATTCAGATCACCTTCAAAACTCAGTCACACACCCAGGGCTGTTTCAAGACATTTTGGGGGCCAAGGCAAAATGGAACACCCCCCTAACCCTAACCCGTACATAACAGACATGCCACCATTACATTGTTAGCAGCAGAAATTAAATGTTATTACCATTTCCAATACAAATGCATGTTAATGAAATGCATTATGTTTTACTGGATATATTTACCTGTTATTTTGACTAAGATGAGTGTTATTACTACAAACCTAAAATGTCACTGAAATGTCGGTCAAATATTTAAAAATATTTTCAACTATAAATATCAGAAGGGAAAAAGGGAACTAAACACCAATCTAATGCATATTATTGAGCCTTTTATAATATTTGTCCTTTAAAAAAGTGAGGCAGTTGAATGCAGAGTACGTATGTGCTGGTGCATGGTCAGGATGGTACCACCTCTGTCTCAATTTGAGCCAGGAACAACCCTGTTAATGTTTATTGTGTTTGTGTCCAGAGAGAAACACACACACACACACACACACACACACACACACACACACACACACACACACACACACACACACACACACACACACACACACACACACACACACACACCTTAAAAGTTGTTTAATTCTTCTTTTACATCATGGTGGTGAAATGGGATCAGCCTGGTAGATGGTTGTTGTCATATATGTCTGTAACCTCCACTGTAAAGTAGCGGGATGAAATAAATCATTTGTTTGTAATTAGAGCAAAAATACGTGACATACTGAAAAACGTGTTCTAAAGGTAATAAAATCACCACCACTACTGGTGTTGCTACAGCTATAAATACAAGTAGCTCTGTTGGTGTTAGCAGCTAACAAGAGCTAAACTTACTGAGGCGACTCTTTTTTCTCCGTCATGCCGTGCTTCCTCTGAAGATGCCCGTTTATCACCCATGTGCTCCTGTGAAAGGAGAGTTTCACTTTGCAGAGTTTGCACCCTACGGGCCTTTTATCTTTGTATAATGCTCCCAAACTTTTCAGCAACGTTGCGACTCTCCACTTTCTCCGGTGATGAAGGCTGAGCTGGATGGCCACCACTGCGCATGCACCTAGGAGCTAAAGCGGCAGCTGAGCAGAAAGGCAGAACGCAAATGCCGAACGTCTGCAGCAGGCGAGATTAAAACATTTTTTTATAAAATCAGGTCGATTTTATTTGTCTGCGTCGTTGTGATGAGTCGCCTAATCGTGGCAGCCCTAGCCATCTTTCTGCGGCTGCCTCATGCTCTGTTTTGGCTTGAGAGGGGAGGGCCTGGTGACGTAGTGTCGAATCTGTGGCTTTGATTGGTTAGGAGTATGTAGTGAGTCTAGTATGCTGCTACCTGATAGGTTATAATGAAAAAAGGAAACTTTTTTGATCGAAATTTTATCGACCTGTCTTTTTATCTATCGCACCACATGTCTATCGATATTATCGTCCAGCCCTATAGAGACTTCTCGGCAATGTGGCTGGCATGAAGTTTTCTTGCTTGTTTTTAGATTGAGCAAACA